AGGGGGGGGTCGAAACGATCGCAAAGGCGGTATACTACGTATACGCGCCAAAAAGATTAAAAATCTAAATACTTCTTTGATTTTCTGTTCTTGGCAATCAATTAAATAGGGAGACTGGTGCTTAGTGTCAATTGTGATGGGCCATTCATAAGAATTGGAAATCAATCCACATTTTTTATTGAGAGGGAAGGAAAAACAAAAAATTCATCAATGAAGTCAATTTGTAGTCTTCAGAGGGAAGTCCTGTTTTTCAAAATCTTATAAAACATAAACTGCTATGATAAAAAGAAGGCAAACCTGTTGTTTCTGCATGAGAATGTTGACAGAGGCCAAATCGGAACCATGATCATCAGTTGAGATCTGCTTCTCGAGCTCGGTCATCCAAGAGTCAATGTCATCGCACGTCTGATGAATGAGCACCTCTCGGTTGGCATCGAACAATCGTTCGCCTTTATCTTTGGTTGTTACTTCAAGATCATCGAAGGTGTTGCCAAGATCTGCTATCTTTGGTCCGATGAGTTCTGCTAGTTCTGGTTTTTCTTTCATGATCTCCTCACCCGCCTGAAATGAAGAAAGATCATTGATTGATTAAATCCTATGAATCAGTGTTTCATACGCTGCTGAGAAGGAGAGAGAGACGGAGGGGTTGCTCATGGTCAAGTTTAAACTTGCATGAACATTGTAACATACCAGGGTCTCTACTAAAATTACATTTTGGATTTTCCTGATACTTTAAATGAAATTTCCAGTTTTTCCAATGTATTTAATATGTCAACGTATTTCATTATTTAAATCAAAGTCTTTTTTTCCAGTCATGAACTGCATGAAGTTGAAAAATGCTGGACGCCCTCGTAATTTCCTGCTCCGTGACCAATTCACCTGATTATTCCTGATGACATCGAATTTTCCGACAGATTCATCTTTCTCTGGTTTATAATGATGGTAAACACCCTGCCGTACAGGAAAAAGCACCGTTTTCTGTGGCGATCATTGGCAATTTGAGTTAATCAATGTAATTAGGAAGCAAATTTATCAAAGACTGAGGAAAGGAAAGATGGAAAGGAAGTAGGATAAAAAAGGAATGAAACATATCATTATTATTTCCTGATAAAAACAGCCTTTTCTTCCCACTGCTCGTTTTTTCATATTACTTTTTGTCAAGCTTGAAAGACAACAACGCACCTGTTGAATTCGGACAAGTCTGTCTTTATTAGATGCAATTTCTGCTTCAAATGCTTGATGGCGCGTCCATTTGCTGTGCACTGTCTTTGCACTACGGTATGTTTCATCTGTTGCGGTGAATTTCTTTTCTTGCACCCATTCACCCAGCTCTTCGCAGTCCTGAAAAAAAAAGGAGAAATAGATACCGTTACAAAAAGTTTATTTTGTTTTTATAAAGGATGAGTGGGGTTAGCATACTGATAAGTCAGTTGAGTATAACTGCAAGGAGAGAGAGAGAAAAAATATTACTTCCCAGCGTTTTAATAAGTTGATAGGTACGCCTCAATTCTTCTTTCAAGTTAGCATTTGAACAATATTTACTGATGTTATCAGAAGATGTCAAGATTCTAAGAACATTTAATTGTGAGAGTTAGGGATCAATTTTGATTAAAATTTAATAGAGAGAACATGACAAATGAATTCTATTATTCAAACTTTGACAACTGGAATCAGTCCTCACATTAATGTACTAACATAACAAAATAAGAATGACACTTAGGTGGAAAAAAAATACTTGATCAATATTTATTGGAGAATAAAGAAACATAAGGGGAAGGATGTATGTCTCACCTGCAAAAATTGATGCAATTGCAGTTGGTCTTTTAGCTTGTCCATCATTTCTAATGCCCTCTGTTTGTTTAGGTTGCGTCTTTCGTTCAATGATTCAGCTTTCTTTTTGCATTTTTCCGCTGCAAAAATAAATATCACACATCATTAGGATGGCTGCTGGACAGGCTAATATGGGGCATGGCAAGATTCAGAATTAGAATGAAAAAATTTCAATTCTTTATTTTTTTATTTTATGGAGCTTTCTACAAGTATACCGAGTTTAATCATTAATTTGCTAATATAGCACCTATTTCATGTAAACAAAAGGTTAATTAAATGTTAAAGTTCAGTCCAAGAGCTTTGAAAAATCACAAAACAAAGTTTACGATAGCTGATCTATCATTTTTGATTGACTGATCACATAGCTAGAAAAGATAACGAAAATAATTGAAACACAAAAAAGATAAGGTTACCTTCAGGGTGTTCTTGCTTCTCTAGAGAATCAGCGAATGTAAGGATTTCATTTAGTTTCTCATCATTAGCTTCAATGGTGGTGAGGAATGCTTCGTGTCGCTTGATTAGATTTTCTGCTTGTTCAAGGTTGACCTGAGGGGAAAAAAGTTTATAGTTAGGGAATTGAGGCTTCATTCTTGGTGAAGTAGTACTTTAGTACCAATGATACCTACTGAAACCTTCCGGAAAAGGCAAATTAACGGAGAATATTGCACGAACACAGCAATCAAAAGGGGCAAAACATTTTAAATTGCATAGGCATCTTCATTGAGACTGAAAAAAAATTTAAACACTCAGTTTTGGCAGGGAATTTCAAAAATTCAAAAAAGAAGAATTTACCGTTACTAAAACTACCTTCTCTCCCAAAAAAAGTTGAACACGCAGAGATTTGATTCAATCCTCTCCGAAATTATTTTTTGAACTATTTAAAGAAAAGTTTATAAATATTAAATTTCCCGCTATTTTCAGATTTACAAGAGTAAATAAATCATGGATTTTTTAGGAAATCAAGGAAGTAATTATCTTACAGGAGTATCGTCCTTGGACAAGACGTGTTCTTGTTGCGACAAGAGCACTTCTCCTTGACCAGCCAGCTTCTGGAACAAGTGGAGTTGGAGTGATTGACTAAGCAACTTTCGCCTGTTGGCGTGCATCTGATGTAACTCTTCCCAACCATCCTGCAAAGCCTTCAGACGTTCCCTCAGGAACATGTATTGTGGGTCATTCTGCGATGGATCCTACAAAAAAACAAGAGAAAATTATGAAGATTTGTTTGTAACTGCATACTGAGGAGACTTCTATTGATTTGTATTATCACAATAAGTCATGGTTGACAGTGTTATCTTTGAAAGCATTTATTCTCATGTGACTGACGCTTTGCCTTAATCTTATAACTGCAGCTGTCAAAAGTGCCATTAGAATTCTCACCATTGTTTTCTTCTGAAATACCAGTGCTTCCTTAAGGATGCATTCATAATGTGTTTTCAGGTATGCAACGATAGAAGATTCAATCAATTTCATTAAATTCCTATCAAATCGATTTCAATCAGTAATTGAAACCATAGTTTTTACGTCAAAAGTTGATGTACCAAATATGATTTTATCAGGAGGTCTTTCCTTCTTCCTCTGATTTGCTTCCAATCTTCACTCTAAAAAATATATCAATATTCAATCGATACATCTGTTATTAATACTCTGATTTCTGGTATTTCAGTTTTCAAGATACTGATTTTTAATAAGTCAAATTTTCTGCTTCAGATTCACTGGAACTTTCAGTTCACCAAAATCAAGGTGTTTTCCCCCCATAGTCTCAACCATTTTATTCAATTAGTCCCTTTGATGTACGCCGGTAAAAATTGAGAGAAGTCAAATAGAAATCAAATGCCAGAATTATAGGATGATAATGATAATTTCACGTTTCTTACAGCAGTTAGTTGCTCTCCATAGTGCATCATCTTCTCGTAGCTATCTTTGTAGTTGTTGATCTCTCCAAGGATGATGTGGTGCTGAATGATGAGTTTCTCAGCATCTTGCAGTGAGGTCGGAGTGTCCTCAGAGGCAACATCTGTTTGCGTCTTGGTCAGCCATGCCTGGAAATGATCCAAGTCCCGCAAGAATCTGTGCAGGTCACCTGCTTCTTCCAATTTTGCGTCACGTTCTTTCAGCTAAAAAGAACAAAAAGCAAATAAATGTTAAGGTTTTCCAGATGTATTGTCAAAATTTCGAGCAACTAAAAATTATTAATTAAATCTAGAAGATAATTGTTTAAGTGGTTAAAACCATAATAGTTCATTCATCTTGATTAATCTTGCCAAGAAAAAAAAATTAGAGAGGAGAATGGATCCAACCACACAGAGTAAAATTTCTGACTAATGTGAAATTGGCTGAAACCTTACATCATGAGTCAACGAAATTTCAATTTGGAAAGAGTAACGGGGAGAATGGACAATCTTCAGTTAAAGAGATTTTGATCAAATGATTAAAAGGCTAATGAAGATGAAGAGATTTTGATGTGGTTTTTTGCGAAACAACATTTAATCTCTAACATCATGAAGTATTAAGCTGAACAATAAACTACATTAATAAAGATAGTAAAATATTGAACTAACCATTTGTGTGAGCTGTTCCCAGATGACTTGAATCTGTTGGATTCTCTCCCGAATTGCCTCAGCTTCTTCAGGGTGTTCGTTGCTGATGGTTGCTGCTTCGCTCTCTAGCGAATCCAGTTTAGCTTGGATTGCAGCTAAGTCACGCTCCATTCCAGATAAGCGACGCTGAAAAACACAAAAGTATTGTTAGTCAATTATCAAATCTGAGGTGAGCGGACTCATGAAAAAGCCAAAAAATTTAAAATTTTCTTTCCAGAAAAATACTCGATAACCTTTGAATATTGATGTTTCACTTTTTTCGAGTGAATGGTTTACAATTGAGTCGGGACCCTTCTTTTTATAATTAGTTTTCAAAGAGTATTAAAAAATATGAAGATATTCGTTTTTGAAACGATCAAATTTTCATTGAGAGTTCAACTGTCAGAGTTGTTGACTAGACCTCATTTCAAATTAAGGAATCCAGTGCAGATTTCATAACAACTACAGCACAAATAGCATCTACTATGTTACCATTATCATTTTCCACATAACATCTTGCACTTCAGATAGTTTGTTAAACCTTAAAAAACTTGGTTTTTTCTTTCCTCACAAAGAACTGTTGGCTGATCAAAAAATAATGCAGCAACTCTATGATGTCATTTCTCTGAAAACTAAACTAAAATCTGAAAAGAGGAAAAATTTAACGTACCTGTAGGGTCATGATACCAGTTAAGTCCATTTCAAGATTGTCTGTTGATTGGAGGATACGTTTCTTGTCTTCAATCCAACTCAATGTCTCACGGCACTCAATGTGGAATGTTTGTACACCATGAGCAGAGTTCAACTCTTCTCGTTTGGCTTCTGCCTTCTCTCTTAATTCTGCCCATTCATGGTTAAGCTAAAAAGGGAAAAATGAAAAACATTAGTAACTTTGGACGTTAAACAAGAAAGTGGCATCAAAAACAAATTTGAAACGTTGGACTGTCCAAAATGTATTGCTTTTTCATCAACTTTTCAATAGAATTGTTGTGACTTGTTGGTTCTAACTTTGATTGTTCTAATTAGAGATGAACATTTAATCTCTATGATACCAAATAAGATAAAAGGAAGAAAAAACTGGAAAAGTACTTATCAAGCCTACAAATTATTTTCCCTTTTTTCCCCCTTTTAATGACAAGTAATTTTAAAGCATTTTAAAACTTCCCAAAATTGTGTGGCCCTAAAGTATAACTAACTGTGAGTACTTAATGCTCAAAAAATCTCCGGTAATTATTTTTTGGATACATATAATTTGAAATCAAGAACCACATAAAAGTTTGAAAGAGTGAAAAAATACCGGAACGGTATCAATACCTTATTCTGACGAGCGAGGATTTCTTGTGAGTTGGGGTGTTCGACATGCAGCAACTGTCTTGCAAGCTGGTTGACAACAGCAACGCGAGATGCATTGTTGTTCATTTCCTTGTCAAAGCCAGCATAACGGTGGCGCATAACTTCGACATCTTCAATATCCTTTGCTGGTTCCATAGTGTTCAACATACGATCCTGAAAAATTTTGATTACAGAAAATAAATGAAAAGCAAGTGAGCCCTACCATGTGACGCCCTAACTGTAAATGTGATCTCAAAAACCATCGATAACTAATTGGCCAAAGATCTCACCCACATAAACTACTGCCTACTCTTGAAAAACTTATTTTTCTTTGCATGGAAACCTGTCATTAGATAATCATACAGTTATACACATCTTTTTCATACCATTCTACTCTTATATCTATATTTTTCATCTATTTATTTCATCTATTTATACTATTCTATGGATGTTCACTTATTATTGACCGTATTTATATAATACAGTGTCAACTAATGTACCTTCAATGTTACTACCATCAGTATAAGAATTTTCGATGGTATTCTCTCAGTTTGACTGAACTTGAATTTTTAACGTAAATTTATTAAATTTTCTAAAACATAAGCTGGATATAAAATAACAAAACAACTTTTATCATCTTTGATGCGTCATCACTTGTATTGAGCCTATGTAATACTGTGACTGCCGTAGGGACTCAGTTAAAAATATTATCAACATAAAATTACTTTAGCTTCAGAATCTTCTGCGTCAAATTAATGAATTAGCAAAGTATCATGATATAATTGGCTCTCACCTTCTCATTGATCCATTGTTCCACACCATCAGCTTCCGAGAAGAGCTTGTACAGTGACAGCGCATCAAGCAAGCGCTGCTTGCGTAGCTGCGCCAGCTCAAGGAGCTCTTTGTATCGGTGATCGATAGATTCAAGCCGCTCAACAACTTCCGGACATTTGCGGTCCTGTTCGCCGAGCTGTGATGCCTGTTGATGGAGTGCCTCAATCGTGCTTGCGTAATTCTTAAGTTCATCTGTGCCATCCTTGTGTTTTTTAAGCAGTGATTGGACGTTGGCCTCGTCGCGACCAACATCTTCAGAAGATACCAAACGGAGCGTGTCAAGCATCCAGATGTCCACATCATCTGCATCGGCGAAGAACTATAAAGCAATAGGAGTGTAATTCAGATAGAAGCAGAATAAGTGCAAAATGCAGATTGAAATGAGAAGTGTAAAATACAGACCATAGCAAAGAAAGTGTGACAATGTAGATCAAAGCAAAAAAACATGATATACCATCAAAAACACACACAAATCCAGGATGTGCCAACTTAAGTTTGAGCAAGAGAGATTTAAAAAACAGGTAAGTTTGACAAGAGATATGTCTTCGCAGATTTGACGATTTTCAACAACTTTTTTCAATAGAATATTTAAACAATTTTGGGAAAAATTACTAACACAAAGCGATAAACCAATTTTGAGTAAAAACTTACGAAAAAGTTATCAGAAATCTACTGCATGAAAAAGGAATATACCTCAGCAGTAAAATTGATAAGGTTACATAAAATAGGTCATTAAAGCGAAATGTATGAACTCCTTCTGAATAGTTTTCAAGACTCATTAAGTAAAAAACATTCCGCGCAGTTTTTCAACACCTCAAACTGTAACCATCATATTCAAATGCCTGTCAGCTCCACTTATGTGCTTGCATTGCAACAACTATGTAGCATCTGTTTTCTGATCTCGTTAGTGTACTCTACTTCATTAGAACACATGGTTGAATACAAAGTAACGCAGGAGCAGAAAAGAAACGCAGGGTCTCATTATTGATAGGCGTCTGACCTATTTTGCAACAGGTCACTGTTTATGGGAAATATGCATGGCTTTTTTTCAACAGAAGACAAGCAAGAATCCGAAGAATTAGAATGCCTACCTGGTGGAAATCAACAGCTTCTTCAAGACGAGATCGCCGAGCAGCCGAGAGATCAAGCAGATGCTGCCACATCCCAAGAGTATTGGCCAGACGCTCCTGGATGCGTTCCGCTCCAAAGTGTCCTTGGCGCACAAGTTCATCGCCCACAGAGACAACACTCATCAACTGCGGTTCATGGCTTTGGATTTCAGTTTCGAGAGCTTTGTGTTTGGATAGGAGCAAGTTGACTGTTGTCAGGTCATGACCGATGTCACCTGCCGATACAATCTGTTCCTTCTCCTTGATCCAATTCTCTTCGTCAGCCATATCCCAGTAGAACTGCCACAGTTTGCGGCTTTCTTCCAATCTGGCTCTACGTTCAACAGCCAATTTGACGAGTTCGGCATAGGCATCCTCGAGCTGTTGGACGCGTTCGACAATTATTGTCGGATCACATGGCCGGTAGCCTTCTGTTGTTTCCTGATCGAGGAACCTCTGCGATTGCTGAACAACAGATTTGACTCGTTCACCGAGCACGTTGATGTCAGCTTCCACCAAATTGTGCTTCTGAAGTAAATCTTCCACTCCCATAAGATGTTTGCCATAATCGTCGGATAAGAGTCGAATTTTGAGTTCTTCCATGGAGTCAAGAATATACAACATTTCTTGGAAGTTCTGCTGCAATTGCAGAGATAGCTCGAGGCGTAATCGCCGTGCTCTAAGTAGCTCCAACAAGTAGTTCCACAACCTGAGAACATTATCTTTGCGGGCATTGATCTTTTCAATATCATGATAGTTTTCAGCCTCCAGTTCTTGACTGACGGTGCACACAGCTTGGACACGCTCCTCGTATGCGAATATATCAGTTTCAATTGCTTCATGCTTTTTGGCAGCAGCTTCCACTGCAGTAAGGTCAAATCCGAAGTTGTCTTGGGACACAAGTCGCTGATTCTCACTCAGCCATGTCTCCCTCATGCTAGCCTTTCGGTTGAAACGTGCAGCTAATTGCTCCAGTTTTTCTTGCCTGATGAGTTCCTCTCTCAAAGCCAATTCCCTGCAAGAACAAATTAAAATTAGTTTTTTTAGAACCAAGAGATTCCACCAGACCCAGAGAGATTTTAAAGTTTGTTCTGCGACAAAACTTTTCAAAAATTCTGATAGTGCATACAATATGGGGCTACATTCATTTTTGATGAAGGAGACAATTGAGCTACTCCTTGGATTTAGGGGTGTTCAAACGAATTCTTGCCGGA